CTCCCCCCCCGCCCCCCCCCCCGCTTTATTTTTTAAGGAAATGTGAAACGCCTTTCTTCTGTTTGGACTCCTACCCAGTGTAAGATGAGTTATAAAGATTATAATATTTTGAAAAGAATTGTCATTGTTTTCTGCAGTATTCATTTTGACTGGTCAACTGCATATATTTAAAGGTTAATATTGTAGGATAGCAGAAGTATGAGTTATATGGTACTTCAAGTCCATTTACTTCCCTAAAAGCAAAAGTTTTTATTCATGAATTAAAGTAAATTTATCTTCGTTCCTTTTTATATGCTCCAGGGGTAGCTGTCACTGGTTGGGATTTGTAAAGTACTATTGAGAGAGCATTGGATATGCTGGGCTGTAGAGTCATTAAAATAACTTTTCTGCTTATAGGAGGTACAGTTATGGCTGATGTTATTAAAGGCATTTTGTTCACAGTTGTTGAGATCTGTTATCTCTGAATCTCAGTCTGATTACACACCTTATTAATTCCCCTGCAGTTCTTTATTAGCCTGAATGAATATAGTATTAACCATGAAGTGATACGCTTCTGCTTTTGGTTTAATAAAATAGTGAATTAAATCAATATGCAAAACTGTCTTCTTGTAGGAGTTGTTTTATCAATGTAATCTTAACTGTTCCTTTCTGTTTAATAATAATAGTGAATACATTTCGCTATGAATATTAGTTTGTTTTACTAATTCCTTGTAGGAATTTTGTTAGTTTTGTGAAAGTATTATTGTGATCCTTTGTTTTGTTTGGTTCAATTCTTGGTCCTTCAGTAGCGAGTGTCATGTTTTAAATGAATGGAAGTTGACATTAAATTCCTTAATCTCTTTCATATTTAATTCATTTGGGGGGGGGGGGGGTTAGCTCAGTGTTTCTTTTGCGTACATTTATTTTAAAAGTGCTGTTATGCAAGTATTTCAAAGGCTGCTTTTTAGTGAAAAATATAGTTTTAAGATTGTGGCTTATATTAACTTTTTTCCTTGGTATATCTTCGTAAGGTTAGTAAACTAAAGTTTAGATTATATATAATCACGGTAATAATACCAGCTATTTACCGTTATGTTTAAATTCTCTATTTGTATAGATTTCATAGAATATGGACTTATACTGTCTGTTTGTACAATATAGGTAAATTTTGTAAACCTGTATTAGAAGTTCCTTCCTGAGTTTTTGGTAAGCCTAAATCAGGATGGATAAGGAATTCAGTACCTTGTGATTGAGCAACATATTCTTTTATAGGATTTTTTTTTTTTTAGTGGTTGGCCTGGGATTTATTGGAACCGCCAAATACAAAAATCTGTTATGTGTTATTTTGGCTTGGCAGAAATAATGCAAAGAACTGTCAAAGGCAAAGAGTATGCAGAAGCTGTAATTTCCTTTTTACCACTGAAGAATAGATTTGGCTGGATTATGCCTTCAATGCTAATCTATCTCTGTGTGGCCAAACAGATTTTTGGAACCTTTTTGTAGCATATTTATTTTCTGTTCCCTTCAGGCCAAATGTTATAATGTCATATGTTTTTTTGGCATGTACAGGGTGGTGATGTGAAAAAAGTTAGAGAGAAGGAATTGAAGTTAAGAACTCTGATCTAGACCATTTAAATTGAGATTGCCACTTGATACCATTAGGTGATGGCTAGCAATACTTGTGTGTTCAACTGTAGATCTATCTTTTTTTTTTTTTAACTTTACTACTTACTTTAATATTAAGGATCGTAGTTAAAATTCTTCAACAGTTCCAAAAGAATATATTGCAAAATTTTACCACAGTTTTATACTTTTTTAGTTAATTCAGTTGGCTATTTAAATAAGCTTAATTTCAGTCTTCCTTTTGCTAGTAAGCTTGTTTTTATTTCTATGCTATTTTAACAGAATGGACATTGTCTCTTCTGGTTGTAATAGGGCAACACTCCTTCTGTTTTAGCTCGTGATTAGTAACGTTTCTGTCTTGAAGCATTAGTTTGACACATTTAACATAACTGCTATTCCTTGTTTGCCTGAATATGTTTGTTTAAACATCTTCAGTATTTCAAAATGATTGGACAGACATACTCATGCTGTACATACTTCTTTCTGCAGCTTTTAGTTTAGAACAAGTCGGTTAAATCCCTCTTTCTACTCTGCTTTCCCACTGTACAGATGATAGCATCTCAGCTGCGAGCACATCTGATGTCCAGGACCGTCTTTCAGCCCTGGAGCTGAGAGTACAGCAACAAGAAGATGAAATCACTGTGCTAAAAGCAGCATTGGCTGATGTGCTAAGGCGTCTTGCTATTTCTGAAGACCATGTAGCTTCTGTGAGAAAATCAGCACCAAGTAAAGGTAAGCCCATACTTGGTAAACTTTTTCTAGAGTCAGAATGTTATCATTTAGAATATTCTGTATTGATCACTTCTTTTTTCCCTTTTCTGTCCCATTTGGAAAGTCAGGTGTATTTTGTGCTAGAGGGCTTAGTTTTTTAAGAGTGGCTTTATAATATATGGCTAATAGATACCTGAAATATGCTTATTAATTTTGCTGTTTGCTAACACTTTTATGTACTTGACACCCCTAAAAATTTACCTTACTACTTGTTAAAATGTTCCTGTTCTAATTTAAATGGTGAAATGCTTTACAGCTACAGTCTTTACCCTGCCACTGGAGGTTATGGGGCTTATGGGGCAGTTCTGAGTCTCAGCTTTGACTTCACCTAGAAGTTACTCAACTGAAGGGGCATATTAGAGGCTACATTTCCCCCTGCTCCTAAATTAAAAAGAAAACAAAAAATCCAAAACGTCTCGACACCAAATAAGAAAGCTTTCTGAATATAGTTAATTTTTGTTCATCTACAGAGATAACTCACTACCAGTAGGTTTCTTGTAAGAAGTGGCCATGTAGCCACTCAGCAATCTCTCTTTTGATTAGTGGCTAACAACTTTTACATTGCAACTTTGAAATATATAGGATTGTTTAAAAGTAAAGAAACTAGATGCTGTTTGCAGTAATTTTTACATACTTCCCCCCCTCCCCCCCCCCCCACACCCCACC